GATTTTTTCTTTTTTTTGTTCTTCTACTTCTGTTGTCATACTACTAAATTCATTTCTTATAGCCACTTCGTATTTACTTCATATTTCCATAGTTGTAGTAGCTAATTCGCCATTAGATTTTTTATTACTTCTTAGAGTTTTTAAACTTTCATCTGATAAATTTTGTAGCCATAATTTTACTGTTCCTATAAGCGTTCTTTCTATATATCCTGGTGTCTCTGTTATTACTATTTTGTTATCTGTTAATTGTTTTTTTATATATCCTATCCATAATTGGATTGTTTAATTTATATATGCTACACAGTCTAAATCTAAAAAATCATGTTGTCCAGTTATTGGTTTAGGTGTCTATCTTTTATTTAATTTTTTACCCCATGTAGTTTTTTCTCTATTATATTGTTCATAGTTTTCATTATAATATTTTGGATTTGAATTTTTTGGGTCTTTTACTCCTGATGTGCTAGGTTTTTCATCCATGTCTACGTCTCCTGTATTTATTTCTAAATTCTTTGTATTATCTATGTTTGCCAAAAGTTCCGTATATGTTTCACTTGTTTCCGAATGTTGATCTAGATCGTCGTCGTTTATTTCATCAATTCTTATTTCGGGTAGATTATCTTGGTTATTTTCTTCTTTTTCTTCTAGTTCATCTTCTAACTGCAATTTTTCTTTAAATTTAATTATTTCATTTGCTAATTTCGCTTTTTGTTCTTTTTCTTTTTCTTTAATTTCATACATTTCTTTTAATATTGCTAGCTCTTTTTCTAGTTCTATTATTTTAGTATTTTTTACTTCTTCTAATTGTTGTACTTCCTTTTTTGCTTGTTGTTTTATTTTTTCAATTTCCGTTTTTCTGTCTATTTCTTCATTTTCTTTTGTTATTCTTATAATACCAGTTAAACTATCTTCTAGTTTTACCGTTTCTTTTTCTAACATTAAATTTAGATTGTCACCTATTTTCTTATATCTTCTTCCTAGATTAGAAAATATTATCTTTATTTTTAATCCGTCATAATTTTCATATGTTTTTTCATCTATTGCGTACTCTTCTTTATTCATTTATAAATTGTGTTGTAGTGTATATTCTAAGCTTTCTATTTGTATTTGTAGATATAAAATAGTTTTCCTCTGTGCTGTTATAGATTTTTTACAAATTCCTGCAAATATATTACTGTTAAGTCTATTTTGCATATGTCTCAATTCTTGTCTTTTTGCTATAATTATTTCGTTAAGTTTTTGTCTATATTCTTCATTCTCGTTATTCATTGTTTCTTTAAGTAATAAATATATTTATATTCTATTTTAGATATATTATCTATTAATTGATCTAATTTGTCGTTATAAGCTTTTGTGATATTGAGTTTTTTATATTCCGGATATAATTTCTTTAATTTTCTTAATTTTCTTCCTCATTCTTTGAGATTATTACTCAAAAGATTTCTAGTATTCAAAAAATATGCGGAACTAATTTCATATATTCCTGAATATCATATATATGATTGAATAAATTTATGTTAGTTATTATGTATTAGAATTATTTGAATCATGATTTCTAGTTTATTAGCACACTGGAAACAGGGAGAAAACTTCTATACTATGCCATCCTAATGTTGAAACCGGTAGGCGAGG